TCAAAACATAAAAATGCATATAGAAACTAAGATATTTTCAATTTAATTTTTGAAAGTATTCCGGAAATACTGACACTTTTATATATATCTTAAATTAAAGCTAATGTTATATACTTAATTATGGAAAAAAAATTTCGTACTTTATTTTTTTTTTTCATGATAAAGCATATTACATTAGCTTTAATTTAAGATATATATAAAAGTGTCAGACCTTCCGGAACATTTTCAAAATTTAAGTTAAAAAAATTAATTTTTTGTGAAAAAGTTGTCATTTTAAATCCCCCCTTGTGGGCAGGTTAAGGGTTAAATTTATGAAAAAAATATACCAAATGAAAGGTAATGATATTATGCATCTATATAATAAAGAATTATATTGATATGTTTATTTTTGAAAATGTTATGGCACTTTTAAGTAAAAAAAATTGAAAAAATTGAGGAAATTAGCGATTTTTAAATTTGTAATTTTTTTGGAGGTATCCCCCTTTTACGGGGAACGAGGGAATTTTTTTCAATTTTTAAGGGTAATGTCTTCGACTAGATACGATTTGTGATCTTTTGACGTATCATTGAAAGAAATCGGTTCGGTGAGAGCTGAGAAAAAGTGGTAACAGAAAAAAAAAAAAAAAACACATCTTAGTAAAACCAATACCTTCTCAGCTTCGCATCGAAGCTAAAATTTAGTAAGTAAAGAAATGGGTTTCTGTTGTTCTCATTGTTTGTAACAATTTACCTGTTTCCTTACTTAATGAATACACTTTACGATAAAACATTCAAAAATTTTTCAAGGCTGAAAAATCACGTAACATAATCCAATTAAAAAAAAAAAATTTTATGTAAGTGCTTGGAAACTTAGGAAAAATTATTCACAAAAAAAGAAAATTTTTTTTATCAATCCAATAGTGTTTAAAAAATTTTTTTGAAGAAAGAAACGCTTACTACTACCACAGCCTTTGTCAACTTTAAAACTTAAATTTTAACTAGACTTGTCCATAGACATTCAAAAGGTGCTTTGAACATTTTGTTAAAATCTGTTAGTTTTTGACCTATTTATGAGATTTCTTTTTTTTAAGTCCACGTGCATAGAGTTTTATTTAGACATTGATTGTATGTGCACATAGCAATTTTCTACATATATTTTATGTTATATTATCATTAAACACCTAACATAGTATTTAAAACTTGTGTTATAATGGAAAAAGTAATAATGTAAATTTCTAGCTTTGAAGCAGATCCCCATCTAGCTGCAGCACAGCGTATTAATAACACATACTATTAAAATATTTTAATAATTAAAATAATTATTTAATATTATTATTTACTTCATAATTATAGATTAGTTATTAATTCAAATTGAAAAGGATAAACATTTTACAATTAATAAATACTTAGAACCAATAACTGTTTGAATATCTGTTATAACAATATGATTGATATTTAAATTTTTTATACTTATTAAAAATAATACATGTAAACATTTTTTCATGTTAGGAAAACATAATTGAGGGTTACAATACAAAACAATCTTTTTAATTTATTGTCAAATTTGAATTAAGCAACAATTCTGATTGTAATTTGGATGTGGCATGATTAGTATTATCTAATTGATTTTTGTTTTCTAAAGAAAAGTGATTTGAAAATAACAATTTTGTGTAAATGTACCTTTTTTAAAAAAAAATCACATATCCTAAAATTTATATTGTTGGAAATAGTATGTTGTGCATTTTAACCCCTCAACTCAGAACAGTAAATTTTTTTTTAATTACTTTTTAAATAAAATTTTGATTAAAGAACAAAATATAGTTTCATTTTTATTATTTAATATATAAACTACAAGTAAATTATTTTTTAATAAAGTTAATTGCTCAATCTAACTTTTTTTGAGCCATTAAGTTTTAATAAATTGAACTAAATACTCAAGACTAATAGAATATCTAGTAGGTAATAGCTGTAATGAATACAACTTGGTATAAATTAAGAAAAAAACCAAATTTTTATGCAAATCTGTAGATAAAGTTTAATTTTTAAAAATTAATTTTTTTTTTTTTTTGTGTCTGTTACCACTTTTCCTCAGCTCTCACTGAACCGATTTCTTTCAATGATACGTCTAAAGATCACAAATTGTATCTAGTCGAAGACTATACCTCAAAAATTGAAAAAATTTCCGTCATTCTCTGTAAATGGGGGAAATGTTCAAAAAAGTTACAAATTTAAAAATTTTTTTCAATTTTTCTTACTTTAAACTACTATAACTTTTTCAAAAATGATCAAATCAATATAACTTTTTTTTATCAATGCATGTTGTCTTTACCTATTATTTGATATATTTTTTTTTATAAATCTGACGCTTTACGTGCCCACAGAAGTAGATTCTAAATGACAACTTTTTCACAAAAAATTAACTTTTTCAACTTAAATTTTGAAAGTGTTCCAGAAAGTCCGACACTTTTATATATATCTTAAATTAAAGCTAATTTAATGTACTTTATTATGCAAAAAAAAAAAATTCGAACTTTATTTTGTCTTCACGGTGAAAATGGCTACCAAATGCTATTTTTGTGTGAAAATTCTCGATTTTATTTTTTACATTTTTAACTTTATAATGCTATAATTTATTGAAAAGTAAACACAATTTTTTTATGAGAAATAATATTTATATCCCTTTTTCATTTGACATACATCTTAATCAGGATATTAATAAGGAAATAGCAAATCATGTAGCTTTTGGAATAATCCACCAATTTTATAAAATTAAACACTATCTAAAGATTTGCATCAAAGCGTTTTTTTGATAGTGTTTTTAATCACTGTCAGATATCATTATACTTGATCCAACTATGCCACGTCACCACTGTGCCACGACCCGTCTGTGCTGGGTTTTTTTTTATTAACTTTGATGTCTGTTTTCACCATGAAAACAAAATAAAGTCCGAAATGTATTTTTTTTCATATTAAAACATATTACATAAACTTTAATTTATGATATATATGAAAGTGTTAAAATTTCCAGAACACTTTAAAAAGTTAATTTTTAGTGAAAAAGTTGTCATTTTGAATTCCCCCCTGTGAACAGGTAAAGGGTCAATTTTATAAAAAAATCTACAAAATGATAGGTAAATACCTCATGTATCTATAAAAAAAAAATGTATCAATTTTAAAATTTTTAAAAAATTTATAACAATTTTAAGTAAATTTCCACCATTTACGGGGAACGAGGGAAATTTTTTTAATTTGAGAGGGTAATGTCTTCAACTAGATACAATTTGTGATCTTTAGACGATCATTAAAAGAAATCGGTTCAGTGAGAACTCAGAAAAAGTGGTAACAGACACAAAAAAAAAACACATCATAGTAAAATTATACTTTCTCAGCTTTGCATCGAAGCTAAAATAAATTTTAATTAATAATATAAAATGAAAAAATTGTACATACCAATTGATTTTGTCCTAGAATATATTAGAACAGTGGCAAATATTGCTGCACTAAAGAATAATACAACAGCAAACAGCAACATAATTACAATAATTTTTCTGCTTGATTTATCTCTAATTCCAGATAATTCTGTAATAATTTAATATTTATTATAATTTATTTATTTTTAATTTATCAATTCAATACTAATGTTTAAATCACACTGAATACTAATCTATTTTAAATATTCATAACAGAAATATTTAAGAATTAGAATAAATTTTAAATTTATTTATTTTAATAATATAATTTTGAGAGCAAAAGCCATTAGCTTAACATTGTATTATTTTATAATATTTTTAAGGAATATTTTCTTTTCTAATATTTTTTTTCTCTTTAGCAGGTAAAAAATGTTTAGTTAGAAAAAGAAATATTAATCTAACGGCTTTTAGATAATTAAAAAACAATTTTAATGACAATTACTTTAAATTGTTATATTTAATTATTATATATTATTTATAATCAAGTATAGACCATGCCAATGGTATTTAAAAATTAAATTTTAATGTAATTCATCATCATAATTGCCACAATTTTTTAATTTTAAAATTCCCCGATTTTCCAGACATATTTTTTTTGCAGGTAGTCAACACACAAAATAATATCCTTTAAATAAACCCGTTATCCATAATGTAATTTAGTACCATGATTAATAGTGGTAGAAATACATTAGATTATATAATTATTCCTTTAAATAAAACATGAAAAATAATTAAATGCAGCAATAGAAATAGTAAAGTATTATCACAAAAATAATAAAATTTAATTTTTTTTTTTTTTTTATGTTTGATTGATTCATAATCTGATTTGTAAAATTTAATTTGTGTGGATATGTAGTAAGGGTGCATATATCTCTTATTGGTATTCATTTATAAAGCATACTCTACCCACGTTATATACCCCCTCGATGTATTAAAATACTTGTAATTGATTAATTCTACTCTGTGTAGGCCTATAATTTAAATCTAAATAATAAAATTAAGAGTAACTCATAAAAGAATATAATATATTTTTTTAATACTATTAAAAAATGTTTTTAATAAATTCAATTTTACTTATTTTAAATAAATTTTTCTTACTTTCCAACCCATAAATATTAAATGATGAGTCTGTATCATTATTTGATGCAATAGTAGAAAATTCATTCAAAAATAAATTTTGAATATAAACATCTAAAATAAAATAAATATGTTAAATTATTTACTTAAACAAATATTTAGAATATGAACTGTGGCATAATTACATTTCTTCAAGTCCATGGGAATAGTTTTTTGGGAGGCCTGTGAGACCATAAAGATAGTGTGAAGGGTTCAATAAATTTCACTGCTAGAATTTAATTAATGAGACCCTCAGAAAATTCCACCTTTACCATTATGTAGTTACGCCTTTAAATATCAAACTTGATAATTACCTAACTCGAACTTCCATATATGTGATGGCACAAGCTCAACAACATAAACGGATTTGCCATCTGGCGATACAGCCATGTCATGAGGACGATTAAATTCATTGTCAGCAGGGTGAAATCTTCCAATTAAACTAAGAGAAGATGCATTCACCACAAAACCTTCTACCAATGACTCCGATATTATATCTGAATTTCGATCATTAATGATGTAAAAAAGTCCACCTAAAAATAATTATGAACAAATTAAAGCATAAATTATTTTATTTTTTTTAATTTATAACTATTTGAAATAAATCTGGTGAAACTTAAAATTAACAATAAATTTATTAAACGTACCAGCCATTGGTGAATATGCAACACTAAAAACACGTTGAAACAATGGTGATATTATTTCAAATACATAAGTTCCATTCTCAATATTAAAACATGACACTCTACTATTTTCACGATCAGCTACACAAATCAATCCTTTATCTTCAGCTAATGTTAAAGCATGAGGTATCCATAACTGATAAGGTGGTACAGCCATTTCACCTTGATGTTAAAAAAATAATAACACTACACAAAAAGTATAAGATTCAACAAAAGTATCTTTGTCCAACCCTTTGTAGTTATTTAAAATTTAAATAAAATTTATTTTAACAAAAAATTATTGATTATCTACAATGGCCAATAATGTATATTATAAATTTTTTTTTTTTTTACAGAAGATGTAAGTACACTAGAAAAAATTTTAAAACTCAATAATATTACCTTTTGCCTATCTCAATTTTTAATTATAAGACCATAAATTAGAGCCCTTTCTGAAACACTATCACTGAAGTATTAAGTTACCATTATTTATCAACCTGTGACTTTAGTAGACCTTCCCCATTCCAACAAAATTCGACCATCAGAAGAAAATTTAATTATTCGTGAATTGCAATAACCATCAGCAACATAAAATTCTCCATTATTAGTAACAGCTACAGAAGTTGGTTTACAAAACTTATCCAATTCATTGCCAGGTTCAAAAGGAGACCCCAAAACCATTAATAAGTTTTCAGAATTATTTCCAGTACTTGGCCCAAATTTAAACACTTGGTGAAGCGCTACATCAGTGAGCCACACATTATTTTCATTATCAACAGTAATTCCATGAGGCATATAAAATCTACAAAAGAATTACAAATTCAATAAAAACATTAATTAAACTAAGATTTTTAAACAAAAAAGTACCGTTGAGCACCCCATCGATTAATAACTGAACCATTTTTAGGATTTAAGACTACTACTGTAGAACTAGTAATTGGTCCTCGTCTCTTATCACTATAAACATTGTTGTATAAGAATGTTGTTTGATCCCATTGTCGTTCAGCTCTGTGAAATATATACACTAATCCACTTTTGCTTACAGAGACTCCAGAAATTTGACCAACAGTAGGATCGATTTTATGAGGAAATGGCCAACTTGAGGATTCATGTAAATCTAAAATTATTTTTTATAAAATTACAATTATAAAATTATTTATTATCGTTAAACTTATTTAAAAAAAAAAACTATCAAAACTTAAAGAAAATAACAAGTTAAAAACAAGGCAGATAGAAAATAAAAAGTTATATAGAATGAACTACTATAGAATGCATAATCATTCTATTCAAGATGGCCTAATTCCAATCAAAATATATATATTTTTTAACAACCCAATAATTAATTTTAACTTGAAATATATACAGTAAAATCAATGTCAACATAAACCTGAAGGTAAAATAAGAAAATTTACAAAATTGATTAACTCATTATCGTAGTATAAATAAACATTTTTTTAATTAGAGCATTTATTCAGAGGCAAATTCATTGCAAATATCTTAAGTCATCATTTTTAGAAATCATATAAGAAAAATATGGTTATATTCTAAACAATTAGAATCTCCAAAAACCATTTTTGTACTTTAATTTTTAAGGAAAAAGACATACAAAATACTCTCAATTAAATCTAATTTAAGTGATTTTTTTTAAGTCACTATTTATGTCACTATTTTTGATAATATGTGATATTTTGACTAATTTAATTTTGCATTCATAATAGGTAAAGTATACTTACGGAATTGATTTGATAAATCGCCATTTAGATTCATATTTTTTGTGTAATAAATTTCATTCTAAAAAAAATTGACATATTTTAATATAACCATGTTTAATTATTTTTAAAACATATATTATATAACAATGAATAGTTTACATTCATTTTAACTTTTAATTCAATTTTTTTATATTTTATTTAAAAATATTATATAAACTATATCAAAAAGATTTAACAATGTTATAGAAATTACTCAATTTTAACATCAATGTTCAAACATTTAATTTTTCAAGAGAGTTATTTTAAAAATTAGATTAGGATATGTGTGCTTAATACCAAGTAGTTGGGATAATGACAATGGAAAAGACGATATTTTAAAAATAGATTAAAAGGTTTTAAGAATTAATCTACTTTTTAGTAATTTTTAATTAGATAAATTTAGAGAATTTTGACAATTGACATAAACATAGTTGGAAGGAGTAAGGAATGTATAAAAAAAAAATATAAAATTCATTTATGGAAATAAATCAAAGGTATAATTATAATTTAATTATATAAACAAGACAAATTTTGAAATAAACTTAATAAAACTAAAGACAGAAAAAGATCATTATTTTAATATTTATTGCAATTTTATAACATAATGAAATATCGGAACAAATGCATTTTACCACCCTATCGAGTTTTTTCATTTTTTTTTTTTTTTAAACGTGTATTTTTCAATGCTTTTTTCAAAAGTGTTTGAAAAAATTGGTTCAAAAGTTATAGCTTTTTAAAGTTGAAACGTCAAAAACTAAAAATAGCTCAAAAATTGTTTTTTTTTGTTAATTTTTGGGATTTTTTCTCATGATACTATTGTGAAACTATAATGACGTAATTATTACATAATATCCTCATTCTAAAAATCCTAAAACCAAAATTATCTTTAAAAATAAGGATTTTCCAAATTTTTTTTTCAAAACTACGCACATCAAATTTACGAAATACGAAATAAAAATAACAAGAAACTCAATTAATTCAATTTGAGCAAAAAAAAAAAAAAAACCACGATGTGGTGTTTTCCATAGAATTGTTAATTCAATAAAATAAAAGTTTTTACTGTTTATTATGTACACCAATTAACACTTGTTGTAAACAAAAAAAAAAAACCTATTACATTAGATATTGTTGATATTAGTTAAGTTGTTGAGGTATTAAAATATACTTACTAATACCTTAATGTTATAATGTTGAGTTATACAAACCCATTTAAATATAAGTTGTGGTCACCTACGCCTGCCGGCTCCGGTGACCGATTCGAGCCCCTTCGGGACTCTCATGGGATGGGGGCTCACGCCCCCAAACCCCCAGAGGATAGAAGTCAAGCCCAAACCCAACCTATTTAAACCCATTCGACTGAAATTCTCAGTGACCCAACAAGTATAAAACCTTGATGTTAAAATGGTGATATAATATTGAAAAAATAGATAAAAAAAAATTAAATTTATTTACTTCAACACTACCTTAACACGTTTAATGTACTCATAAATACTCTTAAATTTACTATTCCTCGGTAACTACATCATCGAGAATAGTTTTTATAGTTAATTAATGAAAATTATCAAAAAAAAAACAGCAGTATATAACAAAATTTGTATATGATTATTGAAATCTTTGAAAGCTCATAACTTTTAAACTAGACTTCGCCGACAAAAATTTTTTATATATTCTTAGTTGGTATGAAAAACTAAATTGATTTAAAAAAAAAAATTTGAAAAATCTCGATGGGGTGGTAAAATGCATTTAAGCCGAAATATCTTGTAAATTTAATTTCACAAACAATGACACATGTTTAGTATTATTTCCAAATTATATAAGGAAATAGATATTAAAGCAACTGAACATTCTATTTTTAAATTAATTCTAATAATAAAATTGTTAGTATCAATAGATATGTTTATTTAATAATAAATAATAATTCAATTATTGAAATGTTGTAAATTAACACTAAAAATCTACTTCCTTAGTAGGTAATTTTAATGCAAAATGTGTTAACATATGTAAGAGTAAAATTATTAAAACATAATACCAAACTTCTTTTGATTCAATAATAACAATTATTTTATTTACTTGATCAAATACTGGATCGGTAAGGCCCATACGACACTTAAAATAAAATATGAACAGCAAAATCATAATATTCATAGTTCTTGTGTCTGTAGAGTGCTTACTCCATTGAATGAGAATATATTTATCCAAACATTATTTGGTGTGCATTCAAAATCTAGTCACAAAATATGAAGTTTTCTTAGAATATCATAAAAATTATACAACTATTATGTAAGTTAATCATGACAAAAATAATTGAGAATTTAAAAAATTCAATAAAATCAACAAGTCCATGACAAATCTCTTCCCTCCTTTGTTATCATTGTGGAAATGTAATAATGAAATAACTGTATGTAGGAGGCTTCGTTTCAACAGTTTATCTCGAAAGATCAATAAATATTTATTTACTACGCTATCTAGTATCAAAATATAAAGTTTTTTTTTATTGTATTATGTGATGTACAGATAGCGTGAGAAAATTAAAATAATTTTTATAACTTTTAATAAAATTAGTAATTTGATTTTGACTAAATCAAATTATGTAGAGTATGAATGAACATAGAAATTTATGATTTGAAAACATCATATTATTGAGTTGCCTTAAAATCCGCCTTGTTTTAAAGATTACACTTTACTTTATTACTAGAGCCCAAAATTATATGTATTTACACATATTGTTTGAGCCACTTAAAATAACTCCAAATTAATGCAACTTTGTCGCAGGTTAATATAGTAGTGTAAAAATATTTTTTAAGTAAAGTCTACCCCCCTCCTTTTAGTGGGTAGACCTCCCTAATTTCCTCCCAAAATTATAACTTGTTTTCATTGAAAAACAAAACATCAGATATATTTTAATTCCACGCAACAGAAAATTCGAAAAACTTGGAAATTTAAAGAATGAAAACATTTTACAATTTGTCAGTGTGACCTAATTAAGATTTAGTGAAGCCAAATTTATCATACGGAATTTTAAATGAAAGTTTTAATTTATATCAGGAATTGATGAGAATCATCGACAGATAACGTCGTAATATCGCATTAAATAATGTTGGTGTCCACAGACGCCCCCGAAATTTCAACATAAACCAGTGATGTTATCGCAAACGATTTTCAGGTGGCTATATGCACTTGAACGTCGCTTGCGATACACTGGACACTTTTTCAATGCATCAAGACACACTCTCATGATCGTACACACCAGTCCTTAAGATTCCTTACACTTTATTTGATATCTGATACAATGTACAAATTCCGGTCTGAAATATTAATCGTGTTACTAGTTGCGCGAAAAATGCCTGGTGCGAAATTTTAATCTTACAAATTGTAGCAATTTGTATTTTTTGTTATTTTCAAGAAAAGATAAAACATAATAGTAAAAATTATTTTCGACCTTAAGAATTAGCCGGCCCTAAAAAATTGCCACTTTAAGCAATGGTTTATTGTGTCTGCTGGAAATCCGGCACCGGTTGTACAATATATTGTCCCAGTCCGAGTTCAAAATATAATCCGTCCCTCGAGGAAGATGTTTTGAATAGTTGTTTAAAGATATTTGTTTTTTATTCTACTAATTTCTGCCAATAAATTAAAAAAGCGTGAGATTTTATTTCAATTTTTTATTCCTTTGAGTCTAATACTTTACAACCAACAGTGAAAAATTACATTGTTCAATGATTTATCGGCCACAGCAAAATAATAGTATTTCGGTGGCAACGCCACGTTGTTTTTCCTTAGAGCATGCAACTTACAAACACAAAGAAAATAACACCCATCCCTACTAAGCTAACGTTATCTTAAGTCTCTATAGGCGGCGTCATATGCATATCAACTTGGTATGGGTCGTTAAAACAACGTATTCCCGGATTTAGTATGAGATTTAGATTGATCCGGGCTGTCGGTAATTTATTTAGGTGTCTCGTTTTCCATTTATTACACGGCACATTCTTTTCTTCTTTCACTTTAGTCCTATCACATACACACACACACACATTCACCTATCTGCTAAGTTATCCATAGGCAACTTACATTGAAAATATCGCCAAGTCTTCTTAAACTTCTTTCCCTTTCCGGTTCCTCCTATAAGCGGCTAACGTTGACATTTAATAATAAAAATAAATTGCTCGGCAAAACTAAAATTTGCACTTTATTGGACAACTTGAATCCACCCGAATGATGTGGATAAACAACAACCGGATATTATAATGTATAACTCTTACCTCAACTATGTTCTACATTGTTTTAAACGATGTACTCCACTAAATATATACTTAAAATTTAATTTTTGAAATAATTAAACTGTCCGAATAAATTAAATAAAGTACGATAACCTTCCATGCTGTCTTAAATGGTAGATTTTTACTTTTTAATTTAATAAAAATTTACTTCCTCCGAGTATATACGTTTATAGGTAAATTGTATTAACTTTGGGAAATCGTACTTGATAGAATTTAATTTTTACTGTAATCAACATTAATCAATATTTCGAGATTTTTCATAAATTGCGTTAATAATGTACAGTATTTGATTATCTCAAGAAAATTTCTCACATTAAATTCAAAAAATAAATGTATTTCTAATAAAACAAAGTTTAAGACTTACAATTGTTATACGCTGTTAAAATGTATTCATATAACGAGAAAAATAACAACTGAAATTATGAAGAATGAAAACACTATTTAGACATAAGCAAACAAAATTCAAGTTTCACAGATATTTCAGAGAGTAAATAGATTTTGTTCATTACTTTTCAATTGAAAAATAGGCAACACACGACACTAGTGTTCGGTTAACAACACTAACAGATTATACCCTAAAAGCATCGTAGTGATACCTCCCGCTGACCTTTAATGGAATTATACTCGAATATTTCGTTTCATTTATCAGTAAGTCTGTGTCACTCTTAAAAGCCACTCATGAGAGTGTATAAGCTACGGAGTACAATATGTATTTTTATGTCATTTCTTGAGGGCCACAATTTTACAATACGAAGATGTATTGGATTATTAACTTATATACATTGCTATAGTGTAAGTTTTTAAATAATTAGCTTGAAATATTGTCTGCAATAAGAATCAAATCTAGTGTATATAATCTTAGCCAATCTGTTGCAATTTTTAATCCACTTTAGATTCTGATGATAATAATATTGTCATATAAATATTATATTTTTATTAAAATGTCTAAAATTTATTTCGCCCAATCCGTTCAACAATATCATATCTAAAACGCTCGATTTTCCACGACGGCGATTTACAAAATTAAAATAAATTAATATATATATATAGTAAAAATAAATAATTCAATCTAATTCAAGCAGTTAAATATTGATTTTTGGGCAAAATGATTTTGCTGAGATATACTTCACTTTTAGTGCATTCTAATAAGATGAATAATTCAAAAACTTTATACATTGATATATAACGTTGTTGAAAGGATTGAGCTATTTATTTTAATTAAATAACTAAAATTTAAAATATCTGCTAACAATACACATCCGATAAAATAACCAACAAACTAGGTTTAATTTAGTTAAATTTGAAAACTGAAACTGGTTAGAGGTCGAACTTCTCATTAAAATTATAAAAATACTCATCGTAAATCAAGTCGATTGGATTAAAATCAATCGATGCGCATTCACACCAAAAAATATTGATAGATACTTAAAAAATACTTTATTTTTTTCACTGTTTTGTGCGTTGAACGTTTTGATTTCAGTTAATAAAACCGTAGTGAGTAATTTATGGCTGGTATTACCTGCCAATTGTGTACGAACAATTTTTTTCAGGGAATTGATAGCTTAAAAAAATCCACCCCTCTGTTTTATCAAGTCTGGTTGATAGTAATAATATTTTAGATAATGGCAAATTATACATTATTTAATTTATAAGGTTAATTAATTAATTTAATTAAACGTATAAAAAAAGGCCATCAAAAATGAAATATAGTAGCTGATTAAAGACGATGTCAAAATCTTCTGACACACTACATAAATACGTCACATATTTACATGTTACCTCATCAAATTAAAAATAAACAATATTATGAATAATATGTTATATAATTTATAATTTTTAAATAATAAACAATAGTAAAATTACACATTTTAATTAATTATACAATTATCATCCACAAAATATTTACATATTTATTAAATTTTTTACATAAAATAATATTTTTGGGAAAAAATAGGTAAACAATAACAAAAAATGTCAATAAATTATAAAATTATAAAAACAATAGAGCCGGGACCCAGCATAGATGGAATCGGGCGTAGTAATCGCTAATAAAGATTGAAATTTGACAGTAATTAAAACATAAAACAGTATAAAACAATTCCATGCAATTTTGTTAAAGACTAAAAAAAAAAACTAAACATTTTTCACTTTGGTTGTCTGCTACTTGAAGAGGAAAAGTTGTTTGGATATTTTTTTCTGTTTTATCTTATAAAAGTATTATATTATGGAACATTATCAAAATTTGGAGAAATATAAAAAGATCTGTATGTATTTAAAAAGAATTGACCACGTGTGGCTAATATTATTTAAAATAAAAATGTACGTATAATATTAATTAAAAAAATATTTAACTCAAAAAGCCACAATAATTACTAAAAAATTGCGTATACGTATTTCGGGAACAATGTTACAATCAACACTGTTGATTCAACAGCGATAAACACATCACGTACAATTAAATGTATATTGCTACGTTCAATCAGTTTTCGTACTTAAAATTTTGATTAAATTTTTGTAAAATTAATATCAGTAAAAATTTTATTGTGTTATTGATAAAAATTCCATTGTAAATGATTAAAAAATTATAACAAAAAGAAAAATATTCACCAATTTTAACGGAAATTTGGAAATTTTTTACTTAAACTGCCAATTTTACTCATGAAACAAAAAATTTATTTAAAAAATGTTCTTATAGTACATTCAAAATCTTTCGTTTTATTTATTTTTCAATAATGTAGACGTTCCATTTTCTGCATACATTTCGGAGCAGTTGGTCAATGATTCCCAAAAATTTAGATTTCAGGTACTTATTTTAATTTTAGAGTACAGCATTTAAATTTAACTTGACATTAATAAAAGAGCGCAATTTTTTAAAACATAGTAAAGAATTCTGTTTAAACATAATTTATTTGATAACAAAACACAATCACAATCTGTAATTTACGGGAATAAATTAATGAAAAATATTAGTTTAAACTGCCTGACCAGTAAGCTCTAGAAAAGTTGTGTAATCATTATAATTTTAATTTACCTATTTGGCTATAGTGTTCAATTATCATTAACACAAGTATTATTAATAAATGAATGAAACTGTTGAAATAATCAATAAATTAATGTTTGACCAGTTAATAAATATTTCAAACTTAACACTTTCTTTGGTATCAATGATAGCAATCACATTATGATGTAAAGCAATATTATTGAACTTTCAAAATCTATATTAGTCCTTATGGAATTGAAATATCCAAACGACTTTCCCAAAAAATGATAAAAATTGACTTGGACCATTTATGCTCTTAACTCTAAAAATTGTGCGGAAATTTGCTAATTACAAGCTGAGAAAATGTTTTAATATTTTTATTAAACCTAATTTTCTTGACTATAACATTTATTTTGGTATTTTTCCAAAATAAATGTTTGTCACTTTATGGTTTTCACAAAAATGTTAATAATTTTTCAACAGTACTTTGATTAAGAATAATTTAGTGAAATGAATCATTTGGATGTAGCGTATGCAATCATAAAAAAAATAAAAGTAGCTTTTTCAAAAGTTATACTTTTGAATTATTTGATTAACTCGAGTCCCTCAAAAAAACTGATAACATTGTGCCAGTGCTTTGAATAAAATTAATAACTTTACTTATATTTTCAGATGAATTCAGAATAAAAATATCTTGGAGTCCTCGAATTTCTCATTTTTTATGATCACCAATTATATAACTTCAAATATAACAAAGGAGCAAAAATAAAACAAGTGGATAATTTGCGATGTACGTACAATCGGAGTTATCCCCCTTGGCAATAAATATTTTCACAAAAAGCCCTCTGATATTTCTTGTATCTGTATTACAAAGAAAATCCACTTACTGTGTAAAATTTATCAACAAGACGACATTTCTAAGTCTTTTTTTGCGGTACTCATCAAACCTCGAGGTGAGAGATTGTTTAACGACCATCGCCTTGAATTATAAAATAATTTCAAAGTCATGAATATTTATATCAACGTAATTGTCGTTTTGACAAAAATAAAACAAATTTAAATTATACATTTTTTTACAATACAATTAAAAACGCGATTGTGTAAAAAAATCATGTATTCCGTCATAACAAAGATTTTTGCGTATTGAAATCTGTACACACTGTCTGTTAGAACACACTCTCGTATAAACCCAAATTTGAGTAGTGATTTAATTGTGTTATTTCTTCTGAATCACACGTTCGTGTACTGTATACATTTGGGTAACGGAAATGACCAAGTACCATTGTTTAAGCAGACTGGTGGACTTGCTTCCGTTGGTAGAGGAAGAACATAACCAGTAAGACACGTTATTTTTAACTTATCACCCGGCGCGTACCAGAATTTCAATGGTATTATACGTCCATTTGTTGGCTCGCCCGGATATTCACATCTTGCCTTACCTGAAAATTAAATAATTACAATTGTACAGGTAAGAGTCATAGTGTTTTTGAACATACAAAAATGAATTTGTCATAGTGAACTCCTGAACATTTAATAGACTCTGAACGACATGAAATCTTTTAGAAAATTTAATAGTTAACAAAAGAATAACTTCAATTGAACCCTCCAAAAACCTTTGTATACTGTTCTCATTCAAAATAACTAAAATATAATTAATGCAATATACTCAAGTCAATAATAACAGTAGTTGTAATTATACATCATGACTTATTAAAATTAATAATAATTTTTTTCCTTGTTCTATTATATAATAAGATATTTTTATTAGTCAATATACAAGATAATACTGATATCATGAAATATTATATAATTAATCGAATAATAAAAATAACACTGATATACATTATATATACATTGTATATATGTTATATGTATATATTTTGTTTGTTTGAGTTAAATAGCGGGAAGTAAGTTAATTGTAAATGCATCGTTTTAGATAAATGTATAAGTTTTTATTTTGAACTAACATTTAATATGAAAGCGACGCGTGTAAAGAATAAAACTTTTCAATCTAAAATAGAATCTGCTTAATTATTTTAATAGTAAAAATAAATTTACAATTACCTCATTCGATTTATATTTACCTCACTTCGCCCTACTTTTCTCTATTTACTAATCATAAAGTATTTTACATGTTCATTTCTCACACTTTTTAAGGGTGTCAACTTCATTTTTTCAAATAGCACTATACATAACTATCTTATTTATTTATTAGATAATGATCTAATTAATAAAATTACTGTTCGTTAACAACATTTGAAGCACTATGTCAAAAATTATTAACAATTTAGAATAATGACTGGAGATGACGTTTGGGACTTACAATTTTTATTACTAGACATTTCTGTATTAAAAAAAAAAAAATTTATCAATATTATTTAAATTTTTTGTTTAATATTTAGTTGATGATAAAATAATCACTCTGTATAAGGTAATAATTCAAATTTAACAATGGGAATTTTCAGAAGGTCTTTTGTAGGTATTCCTTTGCAACTAGTAATATAATGCATTTATGAAAATCCTCTTACAATATGGTGGAGAATGTGACCAAGTGCCATTTTCCATACACATAATGCTGGCTTTTCCAATCATTTGATGCCTTTCACCGCAAGAAAACTGTACCACAGAACCAACAACGTGTTTTTCTGGAGCAGAGTCTTCGATCAATATTCCATTTAATGGAATTACAGGTGTTGGACACAGAATTTCTAAAAAATAAAAATAAATGAATTTAAAATACTTAGCTAAATTATTCATTTCATCGTAAGTTTTTAATGACATTGGTCAATTTTATACTGCGTGTAGTTATTTGTTTGTAGTGTGCACTTACAGATTTATATGTGTACAAAATAATACTAAAATTCGGTCTAGGGTGTGGTTAGTGTGGGATTGCCGGCTTACCATTAGTGGAATGAAAAAAGTCCGAATCATTTTAGTACAATATGACAATAATAGACGTACTCAAAATTACTCTCTGGGGATATAAAGACGAACCGCTTCCTTTTTAGTACGTGTGGTTTATTAGGTTCTTCGAATATACAAAATGATTCTCTAAATAGGAGCTATCCGATCTGTAGCTGTTCAAGTTATTACTTACAAAATCAATCTTGGAATTTATATTTTGAAAAAAATATACTCGACTTTTAAATATTTCATCTAACTTTCTCTCGTCATTATCGATAATTTTATTTTTCATTCTTCGATAATGTTAAACAATACAATTGATTTTAAATCATTAGTTTGTTATTTAAATATGGTAAATTTTGTTACAAGCAGTTAACTTTTTTATATTTTAGGAAAACGATAATTTGACAGCTAATAAATTCGTAAGTTAACGTTTAATTATTTTATAATTAGTCTACCATTAATAGAACGGATCTAAAGTGGAAACAAACGTTTGCTGATGTTTGAAGGGAAACGAAACACAATGATTGAACATAATCAGAAGCTGCGACAAGTGTAACAATTAATTACGTTTGCACAGTACACGGGAAACTTCGAAATTGACAAATTCCATTAATATTTTCTCTTGTAAAAGACGGGCGAGAAGGAGGCTGTGCGTGCCTTAGGTGCGACAGCAGCAATGCTTTGCGATTTATTTTAGACGCCCTTAAAATTTGATTAATGAAATTACTGCGAACCCGCTCTCTTATTTCTCCGTGTCTATTTGAACAATGTGTAGTTGGTAAGATAGTGCGCTGGTGTGCGAGCACCAGAAATAAAAGATTGGTTGAATAATTTACCGGATATTATTGCGTGGATTTCAATATTTTCTTAATAGATAAAAAATGCAATACGGTTTCTTTGAAAAATATATTTATCGCTAAGGCGTGTTTTTAAATATCAAATAATAAGATATGTTTATTTTTATTGACTTTTTTGGAAAATCAAATCGTATAGAGTGAGATTGCAAACAAACTAACCTGTACAAGTTGGTATTTGATGTGACCACGTTGAATCTTCCATGCATTGTATCGAGTTTTCTCCGGACATTTGAAAACCCCACGCGCATTTGAATACAGCGCGTTTTCCGTAGGTATTGTTGTATTCGATCATGATCAGCCGAGAATCGTCGACGCTGATTGGTGGACATTTGACCATAATGCAAACTGGCGGTTCATTTGACCACTCTCCTGCGAATAAACAAATTATATTATGTCAAGAAATAATGTCATTAACATGTCTAAAAAGCAATTTATTTTTGTGAATTTTATTTTTTATAATATTTAAAACAACTGGATGTAGAAATTAAGAAATTAACTAAGCGAAAATACATAATGTGTAATAATAATATATGCACATTGCAAATTATGTAGTACACATTTTTCAATGAAATCATTTTTTTTTCAATGTATTTTGAGCGTTTTATCTGTTCTCTGGAAATACTATAAAAATATTAATGCTACGAGCCAATATTTGGTTCATTTGTTGATGGTCGAGAGAAAACTTGAGATGAAGATAAACATAATTTATAAAAAAACACCAGCGATCGAGTTAAACCCGTGGTTTAATCGACATGTCTACAAAACATTTTCTTTTATATTGTTATACGTCTTAGTTTTTCCTCGCTGGCACCCGAGGCTACTGTAAATTTCTCCTTTTATTTCAAAATAACAGAGAGATCAGAGATGAATAGAAGTAAGAACGAACCTTATAGACACATTTTTCAGTAGACATTGAACGCGATCAATCATTCACAGGTCTTAGTTATACAATCTACCGCATTAACTCACTGTGAAGTTGAGTGGATATGTATCGAAGATGCTTGCATTGTACCACTAAGCACTTCTCATGCCCTAAGCACACACGATATCATGAAACCTAATATTTAATGCATTTTTTTGCAATAAAAATTTTGTCATATATATATATATATAAATAGACAAAAAAATATATATTTGTATATCATGTTCTTGAGTTTTCATTTTCATTTTATTTTTATTTTTTACTATTGTAGCTTCTAGTAAAACACTATAGAAATTACATCTGATAATCCTTTTTTATATATATTCAAAGCCTTTTAACTTGGTTGATTATAAATAATATTTAATCAAATTGAACTTGAGTTAAATCGATTTTTACATAAACTTTAATCTCGCAAATTGGGGAATTTTTTGATTTTTTCGAATCAAATATCTTAGTATTTTTACAACCATAGGAAACTACTATTGGAATACGACTAAAAAATGAAAGTATATTTAAAATTCTGGTTCACCCTTATGTATATTTATAAATTAGAACCTTTGATTTTCATACTATGATTATACGCGGTAACAGTCTACTTCTGAAATTATTTGTATGATAAACGCAATTTTTTAAAGAGTAGTAAATTATCATTTTCTAAATTTATATTTATTATCAATGAAAAAACTTCGAGATAGAAAAGTTGTATTAGGCACATATAATTTCCGTTTTATTTCGAAGAGACTAAATATTAAGTTTCCGGTATGACCGAAATCCATAAATGGGCTTTCATTAAAATTATTGTTATCAATATTATACAATCGACCTTGTAAACTATGTAAATACTGCTAATTATACTTTTACGGATAGTCTTTTAAGCAAATATATACATAAACTTAAAATCAGAGCTGTTACGTTTGAATTGTCAAACGGTAATTGTCCATTTCTATCAAATTTTCAGGGGAATAAAAAGTTAAAAACAAAAATAGACAATTAAATATTAGAAAAATTAAAATATACTTTATCCGATGGATTTCATTGCTTGCTAATGGGATATCGAATTAAACCATTAAATCAAAATCGAACAAAATGCACTTCTATTGTTTTTTCTCTGTACTCGTCTTCAAATATTTGTTCCCCCAATTAAATTGTATATAAGATAGCTTTTTAAATTGCAGTTTATATATTTTTTCTTATAAAATACAACTTTCTCACTAATAATAAAATGGCGTTGGTGATATTAACTTAGTTTAAACGAGGATATTGACCTTTTTATACCCTATTCGATGTACAACTCTAAAAGAGGCCATTTATCATAATAATACCGTTTGGCATAAGCCCCACGGAACAAATATAATATTTTCATTAAAATCATACAAAGAACGAAAGTTTCATATTACTTTTACCTCTAATAATGATAAATTTATTTTTTTATTACCGATTTTTATGCAAAAGGAGCAATTTTAAGATTTTGAAAACGATTTTTCATAGTCCTTTGCGAACGTTATTCATTTAAGGTTATGACCATTAACAAGTCACGTATCGGAACCTTATATGGGACACACGTTATAAGTATGGTATCTACGGTATGTGCGTGCTTGAGGGTGTAACACATGCCTAAGTGGTGGCAGATTCACTTGCTCGAGGTATGCAAAACACGGAAACCCCATAACGACAGACTAGATGGGCGAAAATATCCGAGTAGACTACTATTTACCCTTAGCTATAGGTTTGGTAAACCTTATGTTTAAGCTGTTCCTTATCTTGCAGCTTGACGATTTATAATAAACATGAAATACATTGTACATCGGCCTTCACGATAGCAATAATTTTTTATCGAATATTTCTTTCTTATAGTCTTATAAACCCCCAAAGCCGTTTTAAAAGCAAAATAAACATACATCATTCTATAAAACTGTTATCTACGAACGGATTGAACAATTTTAAAGTTAATATAATAAAGCTTTTACACCATTAAAGTTACAACAAATTGAAAAACTAAAATATAATATATTTCATGTATTTTTAAGTTGTGAAGTATTTTTTCAGCAAATGTGATATTATTTACATTAATATGTAATAAAATTAAGTATAAAAAAATACATATATATATATAATTAATTAAATTTTATTATCTCATAATATGCTAATCACTGTAATTTTATATAGTTACAATAATTAGCATATGACAAAATGGCTTAATTAATGAAGTTTTAGCTTCGATGCGAAACTAAGAATTTTAAATATGTACTGAGTGAATTCTGAATACTCTGACATAATAAGATAAAAATCTAGGCTGATATAATATTAAAATTTTATGAGAAATATATTCTTGAAATATTTATTGTTTATTACTTAATCCAAATAATGTAACAAAACAATTTTTCATGTTCAATGAAAGTAGTTAGAAGATTTTTAAATGAAAAGCAGTTTTAAATTAAATTAAAAAAATTTTAGACACAAACATTAAATGTTATACTTTTCAGTAATAAGTCATCTAATACACTATTAGAGGGTTGGATAAAAGTTTACAAAGAGAAAAAAAGATCTTTGAAAAAGTAAAATCTTTAATCAAAATTCTTGACTGCGACTTAGTATAAGAATTGAATTTTTAAACTGAATGTTTGCGCTGTATAGTTTTATTTTTATTCGGTAGCTACTTTTGACTACGTATAGAGTGTTCAGTAAGTAAGGAAAAGGGTTTTTATTGTTCTCATTGTTTATAACAATCGACCTGTTCTTTATTTATTGAACATCCTGTATAACTATATATACATATATGAATAGAATGATTACATAAAGGTAGGTTTTCGAGGAAAGAATGTACATATCTTAAATTAAAAAACGTCTTACAATAGTTCATTCCTCATAAAATTACAAGGTATCATTCATACATTTAATCTATTTAGCTCTAGCCAAATAAAAATGCTAATAAAATTTCGAAAAAAAAACGATTTAATTCAAATTTATCATTTAATATAAAATTATAGTAATAAATATATCAAAATAATAACAAAATCAATTACATACATGGACTTATATATGACTAAAATAAATTTGAAAAGTTTCAAAAAAAAAAGATGTTTTTAATTTTTACCCACTTTTTAGTGTGTAGTTACCACTAAACTAGTAATCTAAGATTAGATTTGAAATCAGCAGCAAACATCTAAACATTGTAAATTGTATGTATATATATTGCTATTCTGTATTATGAACTATAGTAGTAAAAATATACCACACAAATATATGTAAAAAAAAATAAATTTCTATGAAACAATACATTTATCTCTCCGTAAGAATTTTCGAATATTTTTTTCATTTAAGACATCTTATTTGCTACTAAACAATTTCTATTGTATTTGAGCAAGTTGCTGTATATTCATTCACATAATATTCTTTCAATCTTGAAAGTTACAATTTCTTTTACGTTGTTTATTACAAGTTTTTGACGGAATACAATAATACAAGAAGCTTTAAATAGCTATTCTTGTAAACCTTAACTGTATTCATATCATTTGCCAGTCATTTCATTTCATCTATTGTTACACAACTTGTACATAATATACAAATAAAAAAACACTAATTTACACTAAACTGTGTATAATATAATTGAGAAAAAAAATCATATAAATACCTCAAAGATTTATTTTTTACATTTTTATTTTTATCATCTTGAAATACTTAACTTCATAATTATTTGGTAAAATTTACATAATACTAACATGATTATAACAATAAATTTAAAATCTCCTCAATTAAGTAGTTGAACTAACTTAATTACTATAGTTAATTACCTCTGGAAAAATGTTAATATTGCTATCATGTATAGAAGTATCAAGTGATAACAAATAAAAATTGTAAACATTTAGATTTTTTACAATTTTCTAGTTGAAATTGATTTGAGAAATAACTAATATTAACGATTTTTAAACCAGAAGAGTTTATAGTAAATTCATATTAATATTTTAGTAGAAAAGTTAAATAATATGGAAAATAAATATATGATGAAACCTTGGTCTCATCCTTGTGATGAAAGATACCTTGTCACAAGGTATTTGAAATTGTTCTACAATATATAGTTACATAACGTTGGTGCTAAATTACAATATTCAACTAACTCAATTAGCTTTGTATATTAGGCGCTTAAAAGCCAAGCCGATTAGCTCCATTATTTTCAAATCAGTTTCTTTTAAGAGTATTCACTTTCTCAATCTAACCATACTTTTAAAACTATTATTTTTAAAAAAGTGAATAATAGCATAGTTAATAAAAGTGTTAATATTGGCTTAGATTAAAAAAGTGAATACTTTTGAAAGCAACTGATTTGAAAATAAGTGGAGCTAATCGGCTTAGCTTTTAAGCGTCCCATATATAAGTATAATTTCAATAGTTAATGTATTTTCTTATATCTGAACATATCGAAAAAGATTTATAACATTAGTAAGGATAT